AAATATTTAAGTTGCAAGGTAAATATTTAGCTCAAAACTAAATATTTAAGTCACAAGTTAAATATTTAGCTTGTTAACTAAATATTTAATTTGTAGGTTAAATATTTAGTTTATAAACTATGACATTTATAAACGTATGAATCATATGGTGGAAAACTGACTTTGAAAAATAAATCTGTTCTTTTTTTCTTATAAAAGGCTAAATAAAACAAAAWTATTGGTGGTAATTTCTGACTGTGTAACTTTACAAACGGCACCCCATGTCATTATTCGTATAACTTGTCACCTGGAACCAAACACTCAACTCTCATTTAACTGTGACACTTATTYTGTATGTTATAACTTTATTATTTCATTGTTGTTTTTCATCGTTTTGGTCAGAAAATTGTCTTCGGTTAATTGGTTTTGTCTCATTAAACAGCCTAAAGACTAAAAACGAAAACGCACCTTGACATATGGATCATTCATTAAAACCTGCATGGGATTATGAGATTGCCCCGGGCAACCAGGGAAAGCTGAGCTGCTGGAGCGGGGAAGACCCCGGGAAAAGTGACGTCAGCTTGGGGAACTCCCCTCTCTGCAAACAACACCACGAGAGAGAGGCTGCTAGGGGATGCGAGGGGTGGGGGGACACGGCCGGTGTCTCAGACAGCAGAGATGGTATCATCTGGGAAGGTCCAATGTGGTTCCGAGACTGTTTCCAAGAGGAGACAGGTGAGCACAGGTGAGGTATCGCCTCCACAGCGTCAGAAAGCTCGGCTCAGAAAACAGAGGCTCATGGCCAAACTCTGCGACTCTGGTTTCGAGGAGGATTTGGTTTCCTCTCCTGCTCGGAGGGAAGTGTCCCTCGCTGGGTCACACGAACCGGAACCTGCATCGGGACTGCTGTCGACCTGGTACCTTCAGTATGGAGATGTCGGTTTCAGGATCCAGAAAGAGAAAGAGGCGCAGTTTCACCTCTGCCACAGCCTGGCACAGCAGCCACAGGTAGGCTCTACACACCACTGACACAACTTGCTTTTTTCTTATTGTGATCCAATATTTGTTCACCTGACATGGTTTATTGCTGCAGAAACAACTTATCTCTATATTTAAACCGAGCTTCCTGTCTCAAATGTTGCTTTGATGCTTCTCTGCAAACTGTTCTTCCTGCAGCTGACTGCAGAAGCACGCTGTAAGCTGGTCAGCTGGCTCATCCCTGTCCACAAACATTTCCGTTTGTCCTTTGAGTGCTGCTGCCTGACAGTGAACATCATGGACCGGTTCCTGAGGTCCACTCCTGTGGCTGCTGACTGCTTCCAGCTCCTTGGCGTCACCGCGCTCCTCCTGGCCTGCAAACAGGTCAGTCTTCTGTGCCCTTATTGGAGAAGGCAACTATAAAGCTCTCGTTCCATTCATGATCACGACCCACGCTTGTCCCCTCTCTGCAGGTGGAGGTGTGCTCTCCGTCCGTCAGCCATCTCGTGTCGTTGTGCTGCGACGCTTTCACCAAGGAGCAGCTCTGCAACCTGGAGTGCCTCGTCCTCCTGCGCCTTAACTTCKGCCTGGCTGCACCCACCCTGGCCTTTTTCCTCGACTACTTCACCAACTGCCTCGATGCCGCTCAGCTTGTCACCCACCACGACGATAATGTTGGTCCTTTAAGTCAGTGCAGGAAGCTTGCGCAAAGAATGTGCGAGTTGACTTTGGCAGATTACGCTTTTAATAAATACCCTCCATCTCTGACTGCTGGTTGTGCACTGACYCTGGCCTGTGAGTTACTGAAAACTGATGCAAGCACGCCGCTGCAGAAAGAACTGTGCTTACAGACAGTTTCTGTCCCAAACCCTCCATGTTCTGAAGGAGATCCTTMGGCAGCGATGGACTTCCTGTCTCCAGATCAGGATAGTCTGTTGCAGGAGTGCAAAGATAACCTGAAGCTGCTGGTGTCACTGAATCAGGAGACTCTAGAAGTGATGTCAAACATGTAACGAGTGTCTTTTTTTATTATTCATAGCAGAGATGTTAATAGGTCTTCATATAATTTAAGCAGAGGTGTCAAGTATAAGTACACTTTACTTAAGTAGAAATTTTGTTTGTTTAAACTTTAGTGGAGTAACTATTTTTCAGCCTACTTTTTTACTTCTACTCCTTCCATTTTAATTCAATTGTCTGCACTTTCTACTCCTTCCTTTTAAAAAAGGCAAAAAGTATTTCATTTCTATGTCACTTTGACTTGTTTTTATTCCATTTTTTCATGGTTCAGAAAAAAATAAAATAAATAGAAATCTATCCAAATACACTGATAGAGGGAATTTATTGTGGTTGGATGAGAAATGACACAAATCACATCACATTCCAGCAAAGACGTACTGTAGCAGATGCATGTACAGCCTAGAATGGAGATGATGTGGCTGAAACAAGTACTCTAGTCAGTTAATTACTAATGTGTGTGTGTGTGTGTGTGGGGGGGGGGGGTACGCTGTGTGGCACAAGCTTTTATCCTAAATGGCTTTTTAAAGCATCCATTACTTCTTTACTTTTACTTTTATACTTTAAGTAGTTTTAAAACCAGTACTTTCATACTTTTACTTGAGTAAAAGCTTGAGTTGATACTTCTACTTCCAAAAAGGTCCTTTAAAACCCCTAGTATCTATACTTCTACTTAAGTAATGAATGTGACACCTCTGAATTTAAGATACCTCAGYTGTTTTTCAAATATGGTTTTACAACTAGTTGTATTTTTATTTTATTTTATTTGTATTTTCCTGTTTACATATAAGTTATGTGACATTTTAATAGAAATATCTAAAATCAGTGTGTTTATTGGTTGTTTGGTAAAAATAAAATAGAAAAAAAGCAATCTGTGTTGGTTTTTAATTTCACATGAAAGAYGATATTTTTAGCTGATGACTGTCAATTTTAAACTGTTTGTTGATTTTTTATGATACAATCACAACAGATAATCTAAAAGGTTCAATCAATTCTCAGTTCTTCCTTTCCTGACATGAATCCTGTAACCACTGTGGGWAAATGCGAGGCAATTAGTAACAGCAGAGATAAAAACGRTGCTAAAAGTAGTGATTTCTGTGGCTTTTGTTGCCTGAAGGTCGACACGCCGACGTTTTTGTTAACTAGCATCTGAAACCAAACTGTGCCAACACAGTTGGGGTAARTGAGGGGCTTCATCTGATGATCCATTACGCGCGGCAGCTCTACCTGCTGACACGGTGTCGACCACGTGCTWTCAGTGCGTGRTTSTTTACTAAGAGACATTTGTCACTGAGCTGTCTGCTCTTATTGCCCTTTTCCTTTTTCACTTGGCTTTTCARGCAGAAACGGGCTTTGGCTCAGCTCAAGGATGTTTTACGCGCAGATGGATAGAAATTACGCACAAGCAGCTCGGCTGACAAAACAAACAAGCCAACACAATAAAGTTGTTTTGAATCTGTTTACGTGCTTAACTGAACATTTTGGTTTCAGGCTGTGAAAATTTAACTGCATAAGGAGGAGGGTGTGAAACAGAGGGCAGCTGCTGCTGCAGRGGCGCCGTCATGCGCGGCACCTCTTTTCCWCTTTTCCCACAATTTCATCTCCYAGGARGCCGTCTCTCCCTGGAGACCYAAGAAGWGCATTTGATTMGGCCAAAAGGGGVAAACCGCGGCACAGAGGGACACAAACCGGGAGAATGTCGGCTATATAATATCAGCCACAAATCAAATCATGTCGCTGACAGACAGCTCTGCAGCGGAGGCTGATSGAGACGCAACAAGCCAGGAAAGATGCCCGAATAACGGGGCAGCGCGAGAGGACAGAGGCTGTAAGCAAAGCCGCATGTTTCTCTTTACTGCAGCTCTTCATACATGACCTTTATACCGTCTGCCTYCAGGATAAATACCCGGTGCCAAGAAGCAGCAGTCCCGTCTCTGTGTACATTGATTTCCCCTGCATCATTGATCAAGGTAGTCTGCGCACCTTCGGCATCATTTCTGACGCTCTGCAGTTTCTTCACGCTGTTGTTGTCTTGCAGCTTTTTCAACAATTGCATGGGAGGATTTAGAAGTGAGCCATGTCAGAGAGTCGCTTTGCTCTCAGGTGAGGACAAACAAACAAACGAACGAACGAACAAACAAACAAACAAACAAACAAACAAACAAACAAACAAACAAACAAACAAACAAACAAACAAAACATATTTTAACTGTCTTGTATGGGGTCCCGTTTGTAAAGCAACTTGTGCATGAAAATACCATCTAAATTTGGTCACATTTAGCTTCAAACACTTTGAAAAAGTAGAGTAGATTTTCTAATATCACCTTTTAACATATTTAAGTTGTTATATCTAGATGTTACAGGTAAATATTAAATGTTAAATGTAAATGTTAATGTTAAAAGTTAAATGTTGAATGTAAATGTTAAATATAAATGTTAAGTGTTAAATGTAAATGTTAAATATTAAATGTAAATGTTAAATGTTAAATCTAAATGTTAAATGTTAAATCTAAATGCTAAATGTTAAATATAAATGTTAAATGTAAATGCTAAATGTTAAATGTAAATGTTAAATGTTAAATGTAAATGTTAAATGTTAAATCTAAACGCTAAATGTTAAATATAAATGTTAAATGTAAATGCTAAATGTTGAATGTAAATGTTAAATGTAAATGTTAAATGTTAAATCTAAATGTTAGGGTTAAGTTCTAAGTTAAGGCCTAAATCGTTAAAGTCCACCAAACCTGAGAGAGATTTTTTGGGTGGTGGTGGTGGTGGTGGTGGTGGTGGTGGTGGGTGTTCAGGTCTGGATCCCGTCTGTTAATGTTTATGTTTGACACAAAGTGCTGGAATCCTGCGCGAATAGGACAGCAGTTGACTCCTGACACTCAGGCCTCGCAAGTTTTTTTGTCCACGAACTTCTCTTTTGGCACTGATCACTGTGCGGGCTCAAGGAGACGACACCTTCCCTGAAATGACCACCAAGATGTGCGCTGGTAGCAAACCCCTTTGTTGGTGGGGGTTTCAGGTACAATTTTTAGGGTTTCATTGAAAACAAAACAACTTGCAGCCATGTTTTAATCATTTATTTTGTCCACAGGTTAATGAGTCTGATCCAGATGAGCAGTACTTTGGAGATTATGCGCTGGATTTTATAGCAGGTGAGCGAATCTGCAGCGAGGATGTGTTAACACCTTTTTTTTAATTTACTGAAAAAGTCTCAAGTGATGATGTCTCCTCTGTCAGATTCTACCTCCAGAGAGAGCAGTTTGTCTCCAGCTGAGCTGCTGTCATTTCAGGGATGTGTTATCCCCCCTCTCACTCCTCAGAGGGTCTTCTCTCCAGAGGAGAATGCGGTTCACTCGTCCACAGAAACCGACAACTTTCATGCCCAGGATGAAGCTTCGTGGAGGGGCTTGGCAGAGTGTCATGAGAGGGCACTGGGACACTCTGTGGCCATCAACAAGCAGGTAAAACATTACATCAAACMGCTTTTTGTTGACTTTAAAGCCAGGTTAAATCAAGCATAAAAACTTTGCGCTGAACTAACTGGTGCAATTTGAAAGAGTTTGCTCCAGTAGTTTTCCAGATGTTGATGTGAAATTCTGAAATGCGGGTCCTCGCTCAATGTAAACAAAACACTTGGATGAATCTTAAAGCAGGTAAAATATTGAATCGTTGATCTAGGATGGCTGTGATTTGTGCAGGTAAACAAATATGTTTGACCTGTTTTTTAACCACTCTTTTCATTAATCATCATGAGGATAAATATTGAGATTTTGTTTCTTATTTTCTCATTTTTAATTCAGTCTTCATGACTTTGTAATGAGTGCCCAAGACCGGTGCTTATTGCGACATAATAAGGCAAAACAGCCAAATAATGCAACAATATACAGGGTCAGGACTCTGCAGTTTACACTCATCTACAGGCCAGCGGTCACTCTTTCAGGGATGAAGATATTCTCATCCTTGATAGAGAGGAACGATGATTTGAGAGAGGAGTAAAGGAAGCCATCTTTGTGAAGAAAAAACATCCACCATTAAACAGAGGTGGAGGCCTTCGTGTCCAGTTGTCCTCCTCCTACAATGCTGGTATTGCAAGTATGACTCCGCCCCCTGTCAGCAAAAGATGTGAATCAGGGCCCCAATGATACCAACACAAAGAGGGAAAAAACAAAAACAAGGGGACGTTGAACCCCGCCTGCACTCACTACATACACATAGCACGACACCAAAGAACCACAGCTGAAGCATCCAAACCAATAAGTCAGGTGACGGGACACATGACCCTCTATGAACAATAGAGATAATCAAGCCTATTGTTAGGCGATGGCCCTCTTTTGCATGTGACTAACCTGTTTGTCCACCATGTGGAGGCAGTGCTCATAAGGCTGAGTTCACCTGAAACTCATCAGACTGAAGAAGTCTCTTAGAGGAGAGATGAAGCATTTCACTAAACAAGAACCCATCCAGAGGACCTACTTATTTTTTTTTATTTTTGAGCAACAATATTCAGTTAAAGAAAAAAATGGTTTAATTTGAATAAAGTCATTTGAAAACAAAAKTAACGCTRAAGAAGCATGTTGTCAGTATTCTTTTCTAAATCTAAACAAAAGGTTTTATTTGTCAAAGTCCAAAGAGAAATCTTAAAGCAGAAATCATGATGGAGGAGACTGTGTGTTGTGTGTCTGCAGCTCCACGAGACTCTTCGAAGGCGCCAGCAGGAGCTCGACTCTCTCGAGGAAAGGAACCATCACCTCAGGCAGTTGGCCAGTCGAGCAAAACACCTGGCCTCAGTCCTCGACGTAAGGACATCATAAAGACAACARYTAAACAGAGTCCTCATCTATAAGCTGTTTTAAAAGTCTGGTCTTCTTTCAGAAACTGATGACAGTCAGGGACGTGGAACCAGCAGTTCCTCCTGCTGAAAACGCCTCGGCGAGCTCCTGCAAGCGCCAGCGACTGGACGAAGGCTACGAGACGGAGTCCTCGGACTCGGTGGAGGACATGTTGAGGGACATCAGCACCCGCTGCAACGCTGTCCTGCTCAGCAGCGCCGCAGCAGAAGTCGTGCAGCAGCAGGAACCGGAGACGGTGCACGTGTACGGCGCCTTCTCCGGCCTGCAGATGTCCACGCCTAACAGCAGCACCTGGACTGGGGACGGAGCGGAGACGTCTTTCAGAACCTCTGTCGGGGAACACGGCACCATACGGACTCAGGTGTTCCCTCACGGACACGTTTTCACGGCTCAGACCCAGCAGGGCGGGTACAGATTCCGCTGGGTTCCAAATCCCAGCTGAAATCAGAAATAAACTCTCTGGGTTTTATATTAAAGCTGCCATCAATCAGTTAGAGGACAGTGTTAACATTTAACTTTTAATCTATAGTGATATCTGTAAATGATTCAATGATGTCTTCTCCAGGTAGCTCCGGAGCTAATCACTCAAAAGTGATCCAATACTGCCTTCACTGCTGTTTACAGTCAGTCTTTGTTTACACCTCGAGGCCTGGTTGTTTCTAAATCTCACTGTTTGTAAGAAATATATATGTATTTCACAACTTTTGGAAATTAAATGATTTTTTTATAAAGATTAAAACAGTGTCTGTTATTTTCCGAGTGAAACATTTAATCCTGTATAACCTTCAGTTTCATTGTAAATGCACCAGTTGGGGAAACTGGACAGGCCTAATCATCTTTAACACATCTGTCATCTGAATAAGATTAAAAACATAAAAGTTTGGTCAAAACTGAAAATTTAAACAATAAAATAAAACTCTTTGACTTCACAGACCTATTATTAAATAAAAATTTCCTCAGGTGACAGCAAATTCTATTATATTCTGAATGTTCAAGAATGTAACTTAACATGTTTTAGTTTTTTTTTTTTGCAAACTAAACACAAAAATTTTGTTAGAAACTGTTCTAATACTGTATTAGATCCTGATACGTAGACCTTTACGTAGTAATAAAACTTAAATGCTGAATGTATTCATCTTCTGAAGTCAAACATGTTTTATTAAATACAAAGAAATAATCTGATTGTTTTGAGGCACATGTGTCAAAGTCAAGGCCCGCAGGCCAAATCTGACCGCAAATATTTTATCCGGACCCAGAGGTAACACTAGTTTATGGTTTCTCTTTTTGTCTCTGTATTTAGTGCATTCTTCTAATGACAGCTTGAATCTTTTTTTCATTCATTTTTGACTTTGATGTGGAAAGAGCAACAGAGAATCCACTTTAATTGTCTTTTGCTCTATTCTTTTCTTATTTTAAAGTCAAATAATTGGATTTTTAGTGAGTTTTTTATTTGTGGACAAATGTATGAGTCTTTCTAGGTATAACATTTTTTCATGTCCCAAATGCTGCATAAAACATAATTTGGAAAAGATCATTCTATAAGAATAACCTGTTAAATTACATTTAAAGGCACAGTGTGTGGGATTTGTTGTTTTCAGCGACATCTAGTGGTTGAGTGGTTGAATCATCC